AAGAGGTATTCCGGTTCCGACGATGGTGCAATCTTGGTTTAGTGAAGTGTCGAGACTGATAAGCGAGACGAGTTTTACGCCAAGGTTGCATCCAACGAATTCAGTTGCACAATGATGCAGCTCTCGGAAATCAGTTCACTGGCACGGTAGAAAGGTACACACGAACGCTCGTTCGTGGCTGTGATTATTAGCTTTACCTTAACCAGTTACTCGACGCTGCACGACACATGATATATCAAGGTTGCAGGGAACTCGCGCAGCTTCCATGTGTTTCGCAAAACACCGACGGATTTGACGTTTCCTTGTTTCAAAAGAATGCGACTCGAATGTGCTCGCCGTCAAGGCCGTTTAATACGAATTGTACGAAGTCTGTTTCTTCATCAGTGATTGGAGGGGGACAAGTGCGCGCGAGGAAACTCGGAGACATTTTGACGAAACGACAACCCGGGACATGTCAGATTCGGATGATTGAATCGTAGAATCAAAATTGTACGATTAGGATGAAAACGAATATCGGGGAAATTTCATAATCGATAATTTGACGCGCTGTACAATTTAACGACGACAAACGTTCGTGGAAGAAATTCGTAATAGAAGGAAAGCTGTGTCCTATCTTGCAGATGAGTACGGAAAAGCTTGTACCGGAAAGATTCGATTAACATTCGAATCTTGGATCGTGTGTAAACTACTACTCGTTTAACCATCGAATCGTAATCGTTATCCGGTATACCATGCACCACCGCCACGCGAAAGCTCATTAAAAAGCCAGCTAACACTTGGGCATCTCTACTTGTAGAACGGACATAAAGGTCCTGCCAGCATTGTGGACGAAGCATAGATTATGCTTTATTGGTCGTTGGCGGTCATCGACTGTGTACCCTGTAGTTTATACCGCGCATCGTCCGATTCAATTATTGGCCAGCATAGCCGATTCATAGAACGTCATTCCTCCTCGTCTCACAATTCGCTGAATAGCAATTATTTGGTCGCGGTGTTATTAATGGATTAGGTGCGGTTTACGCCAGTTTCGCGTTTACCGCGTATGAATCTTGGAAAGTAACAGTGTGGAGAACCGTCGAAGGGATCGAATCGCGAACATACGCTCCGCGAGTTTTACTACTAGCCGCGGGTAATTTACGCGCGCACCCGTCCAGACGAGAGTTTCGACATTGATGCGGCACGCGGAGAAGCAACGGCAGAGATGGAAAATCAACGACGTGGTAACTTTTATGGTATGTCCGAGACAATGTTGCAAAACTGCTTGGGAGGCTGAGCAGCGAGAGCGTAGATGAATCCGCGTGATAACGTGGAAGAAGGTGCTTCGATGGTCGGAGCGTGGAGTCCATTGGATCGAAAGATAGAAAGAATTGGAATTTGAATAAATTCAATCTGCTGCTCCGTTTCTCCGTTAGAGATATTTATCGAGATAAGATCAGCAGCCTTTCTTCGAGCCTCGATGTCCGAAGAACGTACAAATTTACCGTCTTGGCGAACGGCGATCTCAATTTTAATTATATCGCGGCTAATTTCATCGCTACCCCCTTCGTTATCCCAGCCACTTCTTTTCTCTTCCAAGGGAATCGTCGATGTGCGTCTCTCGGAGTAACTTATCGTAAATGAGCGTTGACAGATTCTAATCGATATCTCGCTGGCTAGAAACGAGCGTCCCCTGCCTCTGTGATTAACGAACAGCAACTATTTAATAAAGGTTTTTTGAGGCGCAGTTTAGGCTTATTTCCCAATTGATGCACTTGACGGATGATGCGTATGCAGTTAAATCGGCCAATCTATAGCGTTACTCAACCTGTTTTTAACAAGATATTTCCGTATTGTCGCGTTAGCGCACGCACACAACGTACGTAAAAGCGTCTCGACCCGCCCCTGTCCAGTCATGTCAGCGCTAAATGAACCATCAGGGCCGCCATAAATCCTCGGACTATCAGATGAGCAGCCACGGACTTGCCTGTCCCGGATATAACGAGGGACCACCGCCCAGCGTAATGGAAGCACTCTCTGTCGACGCTCGAAAGATACCTTCGAGATTGGACCAAGGCTCCCTTGTCCCGAACCAACCAACTCCACCTGATGCGATCTAACGCTATACGGGATTCTCCTAACAGACAACTTCTCTAATTCCGTGTAATTTCACTGGGAAATTATGAAGTTCCTCCAGAAATCGCGCCTCTCTAGACACACCTAAGATAGGCATAAACAACTAGCTAGAAGTCCCCAGGAATTCCCCAGCCTAATCTTCAACTTTGGTCAGAGTTATCGTTTATCGTCGGCGATGAGGTAACCAGGTATGCGTGCCTTCGTTTAAAACGATCTTCGACGAAATCTGTCCGAGAAACTTGAGCGGACCAAGGCCGAACAAAGGCCGGGAACATTGTTAATTACACGCCCGTGCTGGTATCGATGTGGCTACCGTAGGAGTAACCCGACCGAGTGGCCAGCGGTAAAGATGGCATCGTGCACACTAACGAGTAACAAGTGGCGTGACGTTTCAGTTAGGCTTTACTTCGCGATGCGAGTGCAAGACCGAGAAGAAGATATCGGTATGCCACGACCAGCTACCTATCGTCTCACCTTCGGGCTCTAATTAACGCCGAGATTCATTATCGACACCTCGTTGCCCCTTCGGCCACTGTCTTAATTTAGGGTTCAATGGTTTCCGTCATTTCACTCCGCGTATCGCGCATGCTTCTTTATCGGAACATATGAAATCGAACAAAATCGTGTTCCGTCGGCTCGAAATACGCGAACGGATTATGACAAACGCGTTTCGTGCTTCTACCGACGATTCCCCTCGGACGAACGCCTACTTAGGATCGAAAGGATCGTAGGAAAGTGGTCACTTCGGGGACAGTGTTAGAAAGGTCTCTAGCATGCACTATCTGCACCATTATGCAAAACAGAAATTTGTTCGGAGCACGAGTAACAAATGGTCCTCGGTTCGAGCCATCATTTGTAAGGCACAGCTTAGTTTGCATGTATGCATCTGCAGGCTGCATTAAGTTAGTTACGCTTAAATGCAAATTGACGCGTTAATCGATCTGTTCTGACTTCGGAACTCCGTGTATAATGAATCTTCGTGCGAGATCGGGCTCGCCAAAAAACCGCGTTCTCGTTGGTCCCGTGGAATTGTCGAGCTTTTTCTTCGGACGAAACAGTCGATGTAGCTTGTTTCAACCGTACCGTAACCAGTTCAGTTAAAATGTCAGGATATTATTTCAGAGTTTAGAAATTTCTCTCCATTAAGGAATTTTAATCTTGCAAATTTCTCACGATTCAGACGGGTTAAGTACAGCACGATGAATGTTCGAGTGTTTTTCTCATACCATTCGGACTATTATATTGTACGCGAAACGATGAGAACCCCCGGAGCATCTACTCAAGATTCTATGGTATAACAGTACCAGAAGGTAGGTGTTCACCTGAGATCGATTCTAAATTCGCGCCCCGGGCTGATCGACGAACTCGTCACAGTAGATTTGACTCGATCGTGACTGATACACCAGCGGTAGTAACTTTCAATTCTCATACCTATTTATGCTCAATAATTGAAACGTCCTCTTTCGATTGCTCGGATCGAATTTGAAAGAGAATGCAATCGATGGATGATAAATGGGATGAGTCATATTATAATCATTTGCTGGATGTGACCGAAATTGTTGCTCCCAGATTGAAATCGTTGCACGCGATTTAGGGGGAAAAACATTGAACATGCAACATTTTAATATAATAGAATATTTTAATACGACTTTATACAAACGATTAATTATTTAACATATCAAAATATCATAATGACTGCGAAAATGGACAAATTGTTAATATTTTACTATACATTGCATAACTTCGATATCTATAAATTTATCTTATTTTCTAATTTACGAATATTTAACATACTTTGGTTTATCCATAGATTCGTCTTTGATATACATAAGTATAAGAGTAATACTAGTTTATATACTAAATTCGTAAAACTGTTTTGCAATGACTTTTAGCGATATAATTAGCCCGTTGATTTCGAAGCAACGCGTTGTTCGTTTCAATACCAATGCCATATCATTTTTCTTTTTCCTTTTTTTTTTTTTAATTAATAAGTGAACCAATTAAAAAATAACAAGGACTAAACAAATACTAAAATCATTTTATGCATATTCAAACGAGTAAAAGATAAATAAATACAAAGTAACCGTTATATAAGCATGATACATTTATTAACTAATCAAAGTTCATTGTTATATATACAACACTGTAATAAACTTTAATAGTGTAATCTCGTAAGAATAATAATTATTTTGATAATATACGTAATTAAATGTTACATTTTGCCTCTGATTCAGTTCTTGTAAAGTGTACTGAATAATATCAAAAGAAAAAAGTGGTAAAATTAATCGACAATTCAATTTCATATCATTATGGAATTGTTTAAATTAATTAATTAGCATTCTATATTATTTTTAAGTGGTTTCCTCATAAATTGTCGTAACATTTTTACCTCAATTAAAATTATGTTATCACTCATTATATGATGCTGGAACTTTTTACATTAAAATGTATTTCATTGCAGTTAAATATTTATAAATTAAGAGAAATTTTCTTTGAACGCATTCTTATAATTTAAACAGCAAAGGCACATTAAAATGGCGGCTATCGAAGCAGGTTAAATATCGAGCGCTTTCTCAGAACGATATATCGAATGCGATCGAAATTCTGAACTACATTGCCTATCCAAAATTACAAGCCATTACTAGTTGGGTGTTGTGAGTTTGAATTCATTCACTTTCTTTTTCAATTCGTGGAAGTTATTATTTTCAGGAGATTATTATTATTCGGTGAATAAAAAATGACTGACGATAAGACGGAATTCGTAAGTATTAGGAATTATTACGATAAAGTATATGGAATGTATATAACCTCACTTTTTACATTACACGCTTTAAGCTGTGTATCAATTACATTAAAATACAGATTTTCGTAATTATGCACTGTTTTCTACTTATAGGACTGGGGAAATGAAAAATTACAACGTGCTCAGAAAACGGTAGATGAATCTTCTTATGATCTGGAAGCATGGAGTATCCTCATCAGAGAAGCACAAAACAGAGCTATCACAGAAGTAAGGCCAGTTTTTGAGAAGCTCGTCTCTGTATTTCCTTCTGCTGGTCGTTATTGGAAAATTTATATAGAACAAGAGGTAACATTACTATGATTTTAATTAACTCTGTTCGATAAACATAATTATAAATAATTATTATATCATTCTTATTCTATAATCTTCGTGACTGTTTCAGATGAAAATGCGCAACTTTGAGAAGGTGGAAAAGGTATGTTAACATTAATTGTCTGAGTTTCAAAATTTAATGAAAGCACTTTATATATTGCTAAATTTATAGTTATATGTATTGTTCAAAGTGTTTGTTTAAAATGATTCATAGTTTCCATTATTAAGCTTAAAATAAAACTATTTGGTGAACTTCTTTTACTATAGACTGTCAATGATATGCATGTTTATCTATTAATCAAGAATGGTTATAAGTTGGATGGATAAGATAATATAATTTCTAACTGAACCTTGATATTTAAAAAATTCTATCTTGGTTTTTTAGCATAATAAGATTACATTTAATAATGGCAGGATATTATTAAACCATTGTGATCAAATATTATCATACAATGTGATTCTAAGCACTTTGCATATTATATGAGGTGAATAAAAACAATATTTCACCATACATAAATATCTCATTGATTATAATTGATCTGTTGGTATATTTGGGAGGTGGTTTTCTTTGTTGAGTAATGTATATTTCAAAATATATTCAATGTAACAATTTCGATGTAAAAAAAGACAAATATGTATTACTAGTATAAATCAACTTACGAAGGTAACTTCCTGAATGTAACAGCCTTGTATTCCTTCCTGCAATACATTTTTTAGTATGCTTGGATTATGTTATTTAAAATAAAATGATACTCATATTACATAAAGTGTAGAAATCTTATTAAATACAATATGAAATAAAAGTATTATAAACAAATATTGAGCATTAAGATGATTGAAATACATTTATGCAAAATATATTTACCTCTTTGAATTTAATGAAAATTTTAATGGAACACACACTTGTCTCGATATTATAAGTAATTTTGAGACATTTGATATTGCTAGATGTTACATATTAGTAAATATGCTTTGGGAATTACATCATTCTCCTTCCCCCTGCACGATACTTGAAAAACATTTTCAAGTATTGTGGAATTTTTGTAGAGGTAGCATAAGGTGATGAAATGCTGAAGTATCTAATCATTTAAAATATTAATTGATTTTATGGCTATAATATTTAATGTAATTTCTCATACATAAGTAATTCTGTGTAAGTTCTATTTTTGTCACCTTATGTTGCTTCAAATTGTCTAAATTTTTTTATCATGTTTTGGGATCATTCATTTCTAGATCCCGCATAGGTCAATTATACTATTAACCCCACTTATAAAAAATAAATAAACGTTTTATTCAATGGGGTTTGTTTTATGTTACCTTTATAATCTCATATCTGGAAAATTTCTCTATAATTATTTTCAAATGAAAACATGTTTATGCAATAAACCATTCTCAATTGATGCACTGGTGCATTATTATTTCTCCCATTACATACAAATAATATTGTAGTAGTGATTGTATTAAAGATTACTTAATAAATTATTGAATTGTTACTTCCTGATATTTTGACGTGATTCTTATCGGTCTTATTAATAACGTTGAAATATGTGTTTTTAAAAAAGACTTGCCTGTAAGGGTAAGTAAGGTGGTAGATATGTAATGTTTCGTGTAACCACGCTTGAATGGGCTTCACACGGATGTTACACTGTTTCCTTATATTACCTCTAAAGTACTTGTTTTCTCTGACAGCTTTTCCAAAGGTGCCTCATGAAAATCTTAAATATTGAGTTGTGGAAACTTTACCTTTCTTATGTCAAAGAAACAAAAGCCAGTCTCGCAACATATAAGTAAGTATATATTTAAACAGGTTTTCAATACAGTAACGATATTAAGATTTATTACATAATACATTCATAGGGAAAAAATGGCACAAGCATATGATTTTGCACTGGACAAAATTGGTATGGATATACATTCCTACAGTATATGGAATGACTATGTTACATTTCTCAAAAGTGTTGAAGCTGTTGGTTCATATGCTGAAAATCAGAAAATTAGTGCAGTGAGGAAGGTAATAAATCATGTATTCTTGTTGAGCTATACAATGGCACGTTGTAACTGACTTATTTGATTCATTGGCATTGTTAATTGCAGGTATATCAACGAGGTGTTGTTAATCCTATGATAAATATGGAACAATTATGGAAAGATTATATGGCATTTGAACAAAATATTAATCCAATAATTGCAGAGAAAATGGCTATTGAGCGTTCCAGAGATTACATGAATGCACGGAGAGTTGCCAAAGAATTAGAAGCTGTAACAAGAGGATTGAATCGAAGTGCTCCTAGTGTACCACCGACTGGTCATCCAGAGGAAGTTAAGCAGGTACTTCTTAAACTGCATTCTAAATACTGTATCAAATGTTCAATCATAATAAATTAATATCATTGTACTAGGTTGAATTGTGGAAGAAATATATTGCATGGGAACGCAGTAATCCTTTAAGAACAGAAGATACTTCTCTAGTTGCTCGTAGAGTAATGTTTGCTATAGAACAGTGTTTATTATGTTTGGGTCATCACCCTGCAGTGTGGCATCAAGCTGCACATTTTTTAGAACTTAGCTCGAAAATATTAACCGAAAAAGGAGATGTAAATGCTGCGAAAAATTTAAGTGACGAAGCTGCAACAATGTTTGAGAGAGCAACAAGTACATTGTTGTCAAAAAATATGTTATTATATTTTGCACACGCGGACTTTGAAGAGGGAAGAGTAAAGTATGAAAAAGTACATCAAATATATCAAAAGTTCCTTGATATACCTGATATTGATCCTACACTAGTTAGTATTTATTGCTTATTTATATTAGTTATTATATGCAACAGTTTGAATACTGTTAAATGAAATATTATTTAATAGGCATATGTACAATATATGAAGTTTGCACGACGCGCAGAAGGTATAAAATCTGCTAGGACCGTTTTCAAAAGAGCTCGCGAAGATCCAAGATGTAAGCATCATGTATACGTTGCTGCTGCTTTAATGGAATATTACTGCACCAAGGACAAAAATATTGCTTTTCGAATATTCGAATTAGGTTTAAAAAAATTTGGAGATAATCCTGACTATATACTTTGTTACATTGATTATCTATCGCATTTGAATGGTAAGATAATTTTTTCAAAAAAAAATTTACATGACTTTCATATATCTGAAATTTAATTGCACTCAAATATTTTAGAGGACAATAACACAAGAGTTTTGTTTGAGAGAGTTTTATCGTCCGGTAGTTTAGAGCCTGAAAAATCGGTGTATGTAACAAATATATTTATTTATTCATATTATTAATAAATGTATGATAATTAATCATATACTTAATATTACTACATATTAATCTTGTACTTAACATTATTTTTAGTGACATATGGAATCGCTTTTTAGAATTTGAATCTAATATCGGAGATCTGGCTAGTATTGTTAAGGTTGAAAAACGACGTAGTGCTGTATTAGAGAAGGTATAGCGTGTAACTCTTAATTTATACTTTTTTGTAATTTATATAACTTTTTGGAATTTTATTTATTCTAGATTAAAGAATTTGAGGGGAAGGAAACAGCACAATTAGTAGATAGATATAAATTTTTGGACCTATATCCATGCACCCCAATGGAATTACGATCTATTGGATATATGGAGGTATCTAGTGTAGGAAGAAATACAGCTGGTGCATTACCGCGAATTCCAGATCCAGAAGAAGCTATAGCATCATTGCCAAGACCTGATATATCACAAATGATACCTTACAAACCAAAAGTAAATCCATTACCTGGAGAGCATCCTGTACCTGGTAAACTTCTTTTTTAGAATACTATATTTATTATTTTCTATAATAAATTACATAAATTCTTCTTGCAGGTGGTTCTTTTCCCCTGCCACCAGCTGCAGCACAACTTTGTACAATGCTTCCACCACCCGGTTGTTTCAGGGGACCATTTGTAGCTGTTGATTTGCTTATGGATGTTTTCAATCGAATTCAATTACCAGAGCATGGTAAGCTTATGAACATTATCATATAATTATTTGCATTCCTAATAAAATTAGAAAAATGTACTAACTACAGTGTTTGGAATTTTTGTTACAAAAGAAACTTATTTTATAGCTCCATTGCCGATAGCAGATAATGGATGTGACACAAAGTTGTTCGACCTAGCAAAGTCCGTACATTGGATCGTTGATGAAAGTAACGACGGGGTTAGTCTTGGATCCAAACGTAGAAGAACACGCTTAGGAGGTGATGATAGCGAAGAAGAAGACTTACCACCACCTCCAGCAAATGATATATATCGCCAAAGACAACAAAAACGGGTCAAATGAACGAAAAAGAGAAATATTCACCAGAGTTACGTATCGTCTCCACGTATTTTGGGGAAATTTGATACATGTTATCATATATTTTTACATTTTCTGTTTGTTCTGAAAGGAGGCGTTACCTACAAGAACAAACTTATTATTATTGAGAAGCGTACGTTACGTATATAGAAACAACTACTAAATTCCTTATGTGACACTGTGCACGATATTTTGAGTACTGTGTACTCAGAAATCCTATATTTACACTGTTGATTTCGTCTTTGTTCAAATGTGTTCATTTATATATGAAGTGTCTAATATAATTAATACGAGGACAAAATTGGAAACGTCCAATGGATTGAATTTGATTGTACTGTTACCTACGTCATTGTGTACCATAAATTTAGTATAAATATAAGATCAAGATTTAATTTTTACACCAGTGTTTACGACAATTTATACCAAGTATAGAAAAAAAAAACATTTCTCAGGCTATAGGAAATAGTGCAAGTATTTAAGAATAAAAGTAATTGGCGCAACGTTTATAATTTTATCGTAACAAAATAATTTGTTATAGTTGTAATGAAATTGTATAATTGGACCGGTTATTATTTAGAATAATTATTTTATGTGGAATACATATGCAATGTATACGAATGGATAAATGGCAATTTATTCTTTTCGTTTTTAGAAAGATTTATTTTCACCATGCAATATCCAATCAAACGTATTCGAATAAATAGTTTGTGCTTTTCATTCATTATTTCAATATTTGTACTTCTTTTTATAAAATGTATATACTATCCTAAAAAAATCACTAATGCGTCTATTTTATTATTTCTCACTTTTTAAAGCAAAACTATATTTTCGAATACACTTGTGCCACGCTGTATAGTTAAATTAATCTGTATAATTTAATGTACAGGACCAATAAATTGTCGTCATCCCATTGCAGTCTTTCATTAAAAAAAAATTTGTTCTATTCTCCCGAGAAAATTATCACTCATAATGTTCGCATGTCGATGAAGTAGGGTGTCGTTGGAGTTTTAATTAGTAGGTACAACTACTCAATGAAGGTGTAATCAAACTTTAATCACTGTAACTAATTCGAGTGGCTGGTAATGGTCCTTTCGGGAAACAATAAGGTTGATCTATACGGTGCGGAAATAATTGTTCTGTGAGGGTGTTCTGTAATTATTTCGAAAATTTCAAGAACATTTGAAATTTCCACATATAAGTACAGCTTTTGACAACTACATTTAGCTGCACGCTATTTAGGTTATAAATACGATATAAACCAAATGATTCAAATAAAAGGAAAAAGATATTTAAAAAGATCATCTAATTATTTGTTGTACAATACAAGAGACTAAGTAAATGATACTTCACAATTTATCGCTATGAGAATATCAAGAGTATGTAGTAGAAGCTTGCGGAATTAGGAGGAATCACTATACATAGCCATAAATCTTTGTACGTTTAGTACGTAATTGTAGCATAGTTCTACATCCATCTATCTTAAACGAAAATACCTAGCATTTGTATACTTCTCAAATTAGTTAAATAAGCAACATTCCTTCCGAATGTCTGAATTACGTTTCTATTGTTACAAAGCCATCAATGTTACCGAGCATATTTTGCATATTCGGAATAAGGCAATGCTTCGAAATTCCTCTTACAAGGACAGTGCAAGTCCATCGGGTCACCGATTTGGTTCAAATTTTGCAGGTTTATAGATCTTGTCATGCAGATTAAGAAAATATATCATTATAGTAGCAACTGCTCAGTAGTTTTTGAGATATTTATGATTAAAGTTTCATTACTCACATAATTATAGATTTATTTCTAACAACTGAAAAGTGGAGTCGTGTTCATTTCTAGTGGCGACGGTCGAGTATTCCTATACTGAAGGACCGGGGTTCGATTCCCGTCCACAGTTGGTAGTTTTCTCAATATATTTTTTATTTTGTATTTTTTTTCCGCCTATGAAAACATTGTATGTAAAAAATTGTAAATAAAATTTCTTAATAAAAAAATTTGTCTTTTACCCTTTCTTACGCTAATATATATTTATTTCTTAATAATGAGAATATTATGCAAGAGAAACAGTTTTGTATTGTAATCTTATTTACTACTAATTAATTATTAAATTAAACATCGTATAAGAATGTTGAGTATAGTTCCAACTTTGCTATGTAGCTAAAAATGTTCATGAATTAATTATAGAAACTTGGAAATTTATTAAATTTCTATTTCCGAATAAATACAAATTTTACCGCCTGTGATCAGCGCCATCTATGATTTGGGCTCAAAAATCAAGAAAGTGATAGGAATATAGAATGTGCAAGGAGGTCGTCTACACCTGGTCACGTGACAGCCAAGGACAGAGATGGGATAGAAAAGGATAGAAGGGCTGCGGCAGTGAAAAATTATTAATTACTCCATTTCTATAAACAATTTGTGAACTTTTATAATCTCATTGCAAAGCTGGAACTTCAAGCTACATTCTTATATAATTTTCGTAAAGAATTTAGCTCTAAATTGTTAGTTATTAATTTTTGTTTGATGGCGTCTATAATTTCGTAACGACGAGCATCACGACCTTCCGTGAAAATATTTAATACTAAACTAAACTAGAATCAAAATGTGATCAAAAGTTATATGAGAAGATTCGCAAGAACATTGTTTTTATAATGAGTGCATAAAGTTTCATAAATTAATTGCGTAAAGGATAGTAATTAATGAAAAACCAATGGCGTCTTCGACAACAATTCAAACACTGCGTAGAATAATAATTAATAATTAATTAATTAGGGACCAATCTATGTCGAAAAATATATTGGAAAGTTCTTAAAGGATCTGCCTTTACGATGCAATTATAAAAGTTCATAAATTAATTACAGAAATTGAGTAATTTGTTAATTTTCTAGTACCGAATCAAAATTCAAACGACAACGGTTCAAAGTTCCAGTCCAAACTCATAGATGGCGCTGATCGAAGGCGCTTGAATTTGAATCGGTTATTATCCTAATAAACTAATTCGGCAGTGGAAAATTAACAAATCCTGAGTTTCAGTAATTAAATCATGAATTTTTATAATTGCAACACACCCTCTGTGCAATAATTATTACAAATTAATTAATTAAAAAGGAATTAATTTATCTAGAATTACCAAAGGTGTTAAATGCATAAAAAAGATAAGTATGTATAATTTTCTTTCTATTTCAATTAAATCAATAGTAACTTCTGATAGAACAACCATAAATATGTAATATTTTATGCATAAGACCGCTATGATAATTCTAATATTAAAATGAATCAAACTCTTGGTATAAAGATTATGCTGTATCATTTATTCAATTACATTGTCAATACAAATCTTAATCTGCAATATTCATTGGATAATTCTTGCAGAGTTTACTTTCCTTGAAACAAATCTGCAAACAAAATTGCTCCATTATTCTCAGATGTCAAAGAATATTAGTTTCTCCAAAAACGTGTAATTTATATTTGAGATCTTTCTCCTACTCACTTTCTATATGCAGTTCTAATCATTGCTGTAGGAGAACTTTTATTCTGTAGATAAGTTGCATAATACACAGCTTCTATTCACAATTTCTTTTCCACTTCAATCGTACAGGAGTACTCGTGTTTTATTCAGTAATATTCGAATAAGCCTTTCCATTCAGTTGAGGTGTATACAGTGTCGTATAATCTAGTATAATTACTTTTTGTCTGCACTAATTCTTGAATTCACGACTGGTAAACCCTCCTGCTTCCATCATTGCATCTAAATCTGTATGTTATTCCACTTTGCCTCTGCAGCTGCAACACAAACAATCTCTGTAATGCTTCAATATCTGATTCCATAACATAAATCCTCACAAAATTAATAAAATCTAAGACTATCATCACATACCTATTTCTATTCCATGTCACTGGCTCTATAAGCTTACAGAAATCAGAATGTTTTGCCTCCAACTGGCTCTTCAACCTTGTTCTTGTCTCCCCAAATGGAATCTTCGATTGCTTTGCTTCACAAAAATATCTTGCATTCTCCGATTTCTGTCTTTAATACTCTTTTCGTTAATTTCATTTCCAATACTTTCTTGGACTACTCTTTCATGTTCCCTATACATAGATTCCCCAATTTTCTGTGCCACTCTACCAGCTTCTTGTTCCTCTCTACTAGTATAAGGTCCATTATTACACATATGCCCTACGAATATTTCTTCTTCGTTTTTATGAACTATTACTTCATATTGCTTGAACATTACTTCACTCCCATCTCCAGTTATCACATTTACTGACAATAAATTCTGTATCAAGTGTGGAACACAAACAATATTCAAGTATCTGGCTCTATTCTACCTTTTGCTTTAGCTTCCATGGAAATATTTCTTTACATTGATCCAAATTCTACTCTTATTTCTTCCTCTTTTTTCAAATATTCTAGTTTATCAACCATACGGCTCGTTGTTCTGGAGTCCAAAATCCATTATTCTGTTCCATTGTTCTCTGTCAAGAAGCACGTGTTCTTTTTTTTATCTTGATCTCCTTTTCTTTCCTTTATGTTTTCAAAATAATAGTCCAAATGATTTTTTCCAAATAATTGAACTTCTTACATGTCCCACTTAGAGAGTATACCTCTTGAGCCTCGTCTTTTCTTCTTAATCCTAGAAATTTTAGTGATTTCTATTCTAATCCGCCACAACTATTTAATTTCTTTGTTACCTTTGTTGTTTTTCCAACATGCATATGGATAATGTCTACTGGAATTGTATTTGAAACATCTCTTCTCCTAAGGTGTAAAGGCTACAGGCTTGCTTTTCCCCTTGCTTCCTTTGCAATCAGTTCAGCTTTGAGATAATGTATTCCCTTTTCTTCTTTTTGCCTTAACTCCCAGGTATTTGCAAATACACAATCTAGAAACATACATAAGATTTTAGTTATAAGCATTGTTTTTTATATCTTACACAACCTTACACGACTTTACACAACCAGGTTCTGCTATCACTAACAAA